TTCCGAGCTATCAGCTCCAAAGCCTGCTCTGAACCATCATACATGGATTATCCTACCCCTCAAACATATCTTTTAAAATTCTAGTTTCCCAAAATAAGAAAACCTAACTGGTCACATCTTTTGTAGATAAAGACCAGTTATTTACCTAATACATTTAACTGCTTTCTGTAAAGTTTCTTGTCTGAAGAAGACTGGCAGCATTACTATTTATAGTTATACTGCTAATTAACCATCAGCTATTTGTATAGCACATAAGAAATAATGTGAAGAAATAAGAAATAACACTGCTCACACATGAAGGAAAGAAAATTTTAAACTACCTTCTTAACATTTTTAGTAGAGACGGGGTCTTGCTTTGTTCAAGCTGGTCTCTAACTACTGAGCTCAAGTGATCCTCCCACTTCAGCCTCCCAGAGTGCTAGGATTACAGGTGTAAGCCACTATGCCCAGCCATGATCATGTGATCTATAAGGTTTAAATGTTAAAAGATTTAACTATTGTCACTTATTCCAGCAGAGAAGAAACTTATCAATATGCAAACTTTAGTACTTAGAGGTAGAATCAGAAGGAATGCATCCACCTGACTTAGAGGAAGCCCGCAGAGAGGAATGCATTCAGGGTTGTCCAACCTTTTTTCCCCTCTGTAGTTCATTGGAAGAACAAGAGTTGTCTTGGGCCATGTATTAAATACACTAATGAAAACTGATTAGCAAAAATAAAAAAGTTTCGTACATACTTTTTTTGATATCTGATACCACAGATAAGCCAAAAAAGGCCTCACAGAATCAGCATGCAGCCCATGGGCCATAGTTTGGACACCTTTGCATCATTTTTCTTTCTCTTCTGAGAATAGTAGTCACTTCTAGAAGCAGAAATACTTTAGAGAGAGTCTTACTTTATTGCTCTCGGTAGAGTTCTGTGGCATCACAGCTCACAGCAACCTCCAACTTTTGGGCTTAGCAATTCTCTTGCCTCAGCCTCCTGAGTAACTGGAACTACAGGCACCCACCACAACGCCTGGCTATTTTCTTGTTGCAGTTTGGCCAGGGCTGGGTTCGAACCTGCCACTCTTGGTATATGGGGCCAACGTCCTACCCACTGAGCCATAGGCACTGCCCAACTTGTAGAACTTCTTTTGGGAGATAGTTTGTCAAGAGTAAAGACTATAAGAAATCTTGATTCTTTTCATTCTAGTTCTAGAGCAGACTCCTTTTAAAATATAGTTTCCCTAGATATCCTCATATGGTGATTTAAACATTTTTTTAGGTGGGAGGTAGAGACAGTCTTGCTGTGTTGCCTCAGATAGAGGACAGTGGCATCGTCATAGCTCACTGCAACCTCAAACACCTGGGTTCAAGCAATCCTGCCTCAGCCTTCTGAGTATCTGGGACTACAGGGGGTGTGCCACCATGCCCTGCCAATTTTTCTTTTTTTTGAGACAGAGCCTCAAGCTGTCCCCCTGGGTAGAGTGCCGTTACAGCTCACAGCAACCTCCAACTCCTGGGCTCAAGCGAGTCTTCTGCCTCCGCCTCCTAAGTAGCTGGGACCACAGGCGCCCGCCACAACGCCCGGCTATTTTTTGGTTGCAGCCGTCGTTGTTTTTGGTGGGTCCGGGCTGGGGATTCGAACCCGCCACCTTAGGTGTACGTGGCTGGCGCCTTAGCGGGTTGAGCTATAGGCGCCGAGCCCCTGCCAATTTTTCTATTTTTAGTAGAGACAGGTGGAGTCTGGCTCTTGCTGAGGTTGGCCTTGAACTCCTGACCGCAGCAAACTTCCCACCTTGGCCTTCCAGAGTCCTAGGATTACAGGTGTGAGCTATTATACCCAGCCTAAATTATTTTTGTTACAAAGTTTTTTTATTTTTTGGCTGGGGCTGGGTTTGAACCTGCCACCTCTGGCATATGGGGCCAGTGCCCTATTCCTTTGAGCCACAGGCGCTGCACATATTATAAAGTTTAATGCTCATGGCTGCTGAGGTGACTAGATATATAAATTGTTTTTTTTTTTGGCTTGTAGTTCCCAAACAACTACACAATCAAAAATTATAAATTAAATGCCATAAAACTATGGGACTGATAAAATTCAGAGTAGCAACATTAACTTAAAAATTGGCGTTTTACTGAAATTAAATTCCAGTGTTGGGTTTAGTAGTAGACAGAAATATTTTGAGTATTTTACTTTTCACTGGCTATTTCTATTTTAAGCATGATCATTGTAGGATTGTCGTTATCATAGATATTAGTGTATTTAACCTAATCTTTTGTTTTAATGGCCTAGTTAATAGTACATTATAAAATTAGTACCAAAAAATACTCCTTTAATGTCAAGTTCTTTTTTTAATTAGACAAAATAGTATATATTTTTCATGTATAATACGTTTTGAAATACATGTACACATTGTGGAATGGCTAAATCAAGCTAATTAACATATGTATTGCCTTACATTGTTGTCATTTTTGTGGTGAGAACACTTAAAAGCTACTCCTAGCATTTTTCTTTTTTCTTTTTTTAAAGCATTTTTCAAGAATACAACATATTGTTAACATATAGTCAAGTTGCACAACAGATCTTTTGAACTTACTCGTTCTAACTGAAATTTTATAGTCTAACCTATTACCATATCCTCAACCTCCTCCCCCACTACCATCCCAGGTCCTGATAATCAGTGTTTACCTCTGTATTTCTATGAGATTAATTTTTTTAGATGCTACATCTGAATAAGAGCATACAGTGTTTGTCTTTCTGTGTCAGGTTTATTTCACTTATATCCTTCAGGTTCATCCATATTGTCAAAAATGACAGGATTTCTTGAATAGTATTCCATTGTACGTATACTATTTATACCGTGTTTTCTTTAAATGTTCATCTGCTGGTGGATACAGATTAATTTCAGATCTTGACTATTGTCAGTAATGCTACAGTGAATGTTAAGAGTTCAGATTATTTCTTTTACATACTGGTTTCACTTCCGTTGTATATCTTAATGTCAAATTCTTTACTGCCTGTTAAGTTCACACTTACTGCTATGAACTGTTGGAAAAACCTAGTGTAGCTGGGTATGGTAGGGTGTGCCCGTAGTCCCAGCTACTCAGCAAGCATAGGCAGGATGATTGCTTAAGCTCAAGCAGTAGCTTGAATCTAGCCTGGGAAATATAGTAAGATTCCCAGTCTACCAAGTACAATTGAATATGATATTGACTGCTCTGGGAAACTTTAGTTTGACATGCCTGTGTGTCCATTCTGTCCTCTGTTCTTGGCCTCACCTTGGCACCAGTAGTATTATAAACACTAGTGCAGCAGTAGGCCCTGCAATCAAATAAGGCAGCATTCAGATACAAATGTGGTCATTCAGAAGACATTATTTTTTTATATATACACACCCACACACGTATACACATATGTATTTATATATGTATAGTTCTAGCTTAACATGAAAATGAAAACAATTTTTAAATTCCCAGAGAACTGATGAATCTCTAGGAATAAGTCCTTAGCTCTAAGAAACTCAGTTTTATATCTATAAATACTAAGTCCATGAAACAGTAACACGTAGTTTAGATATTCACAGTATAAAAAAGCCTTCACCTGGTTTGGTGCATGTAGCTCAGCGGCTAGGGCACCAGCCACATACACTGGAGCTGGCAAGTTCGAACCCAGCCTGGGCTTGCCAAACAACAATGACAACTAACAACCAAAAAATAGCTAGGCGTTGTGGTGGGCACCTGTAGTCCCAGCTACTTGGGAGGCTGCGGCAAGAGAATCACTTAAGCCCAAGAGTTTGAGTTTGCTGTGAGCTATGACATCATGGCACTCTGCTAAGGGCAACATAGTGAAAGAGTTTTCTCAAAAAAAAAAAAAAAAAGCCTTCACCAAAACATGGAACAGCTAGCCCAGTTTTAAACTTTTTATACTTGTGCCAAGTTTAAGTCACGTGATTTCTTGTCATTAGTATTTTAAAGTTTTTTTTAAATTTTTATCTGTTGTATATTCCCTCTACTTTTTTTCTTGCTCAACTTACTATTCCTGTCTTCCCCTCTCTCCTGCTGCTGCTGCATATTCTATGGCTTCATGATTCTGGTGAGGGTCACAGTGGCTGTCCTTGTCAGTCATGATGTATCTATCATCCATCCTCCATAACTGGCCCATGAGTGAGCACATGACACAAATGAGGCCAATTAAGAGTCTACCTGAGGATCTTCATACAGAAAGCCTAGCGGGAGAGTCTTTTCTTCCTCACAGATTAAACTGGGATGGTATTCAAAACTACTTTTCACTTCAGAAATTTCCTATCTTAAGTTTGGGATGAATGGAGTGGATGAGGCTGATTGAAGAGGGCTAATGGCCCAAACATTAAATAGATGTTGTTTCTCATTCAGAGGATTCAATTGATATTTTGTAAATAAATGAGAGTTTTGTTTTCAAACTTTTCTATTGGTTTTTGGGGAAACATCCCTTAATTTAATGGCACGTTTATTCACATAGTTTTTATCACAGCGAAGAATAAGTTGGGTTAATTTATTTTTGGTCCTTTTGCTTGAATGTAATTTTAAGGTATCAGTGTTTAAAGACATTAACTTTGGTTTCCATTCTGTACTTTTTTTATTGGTAAACAGAACCTTAAATTTATGTCTGAGAGTATGTACTGCGTAAGAGCCTATTCTGTCAATAAAGATGAGTGATTAAAATTGAAAAATAAAAAAGAAGAGCTTCCTGAAGCTGTGGTGTCTCACTTCAGCTCTCCATCCCCTGAAAATTACCCACAGAGGAAGCCATCTGTAGTGTGATAGACCAGATCTTCATAAGAGGAGCAGCAATACTGGGAGAAAGAATCCTGGTGGTGATAGAGACTTCAATTCTGTAGCTGCCTGTTTATCTTCTGTCAAATTACCTTTTTAATTGAAATTAAAGTTAATTCCAGTTCAGTTTTTCACTTGACACCATAAAGCATTCTTAAATAATCTATATTATAATTAGACTTAACCTTTTTTATATATATCTAGGTGAAGATGGAGCTGGTAAAACAAGCTTAATAAGAAAAATTCAGGGAATCGAGGAATACAAGAAAGGAAGAGGATTGGAATATTTGTACTTAAATGTGCATGATGAAGACAGGGATGGTGAGTGTCATTTATGTGTAAGATAAGTTTCCTGAACTCTGTTCAGAGGTACACTGCTCCTCACATTTTGGTCTTTGACTTTTGTTTGTGTGTGTGTGTATTTTTTTTTTTTTACTTTTCTTAGTGTGTGTGTGTGTGTTTTGGTAGAGACAGAGTCTCACTTTATTGCCCTTGCCCTTGGTAGAGTGCTGTGGTGTCACAGCTCACAGCAACCTCCAACTCCTGGGCTTAAGCGATTCTCTTGCCTCAGCCTCCCAAGTAGTTAGGACTATAGGTACCCGCCACAATGCCCGCTATTTTTTTTTTTGGTTGCAGTGCAGTTGGGGCCAGGTTTGAACCCGCTACCCTCAGCAAATGGGGCTGGCACCCTACTCACTGAGCCATAGGTACCACCCGTGTTGTTATTTTTTTTTTTTACTACAGTCTTATGCCGGTTGGTAAATAGTTATGTTTAGGCATACTTTATTAATTCGGGAGTCATAGAGTGATACTTGTAAGCATCTTATGGTATTCTAGTGTGCAGATGTTAGCCTTCTTGCCATTTTTAAAGCATCTTAATTTTTATTTCATCCTTTCTGAGGTACTAATTTTTGTTGACTCCCTTTTTACCTTTTCATTTTCTGATAAAAATGTCATCTGCTCAGTTTTTTTCATTTGATTAGCCATTTTTTCTTCTATAGATTACTTCTCATTTTAAAACATTTTTTAATTTAATTTTTGTGTTTTTGGAGACAGTCTCACTCTGTTGCCCAGGTTAGAGTGCTGTGACATCAACCTAGCTTACAGCAACCTTGAACTCCTGGGCTCAAGTGATCCTCCTACCTCTGCTTCCTAAGTAGCTGAAACTACAGGTGCCCACCACAATGCCTGGATAATTTTTCTATTTTTGATAGAGATGGAGTCTCACTCTTGCTCAGGCTAGTCTCAAACTCCTGAGTTCACAAGATCCACCCCCTCTGCCTCGGCCTCCCGGTGTGCTAGGGTTACAGGTGTGAGCCACTGAGACCAGCCTTGCCTTCTCATGTTATTTTGAGTATGCCTGTCTCTGTCTGCTTAGGGTAAAAGTATCAGATTAAGGTTAAGAAATACAGATTAAGAAATAAAAGTAGAGGATGCTGGTACTTTTGCTGACAGTTAATTCATTTTAGGCCCTTACTAAATTGATAGATGTGACCTGAATAGTTGGACTTTGTCAAAGCCAGATATCTCCTGTGGAGATGCACTCCAGTACCAAGTAGCTTAGTTGGATGATAAAATGACTTAAGCTTGTTGCCTTGGTAACTGTCTTTTTCTGTTGTAGATCAGACAAGATGTAATGTATGGATCTTAGATGGAGACTTGTATCACAAAGGTCTCCTTAAGTTTTCACTGGATGCCATCTCTCTGAAGGACACTCTAGTTATCCTTGTTGTTGATATGTCAAAGCCTTGGACTGCTTTGGATTCTTTACAGAAATGGGCAAGTGTTGTTAGAGAACATGTTGACAAATTGAAAATCCCCCCTGAAGAAATGAAAGAAATGGAACAAAAATGTGAGTAGTCCAGAAATATTAATAGGCTTCAAATAGAAAATGTCTAAGCTGATACTGTTAATCATTAGAAATTTTTGACTATTCTCATATTTAATGAAGGAAACATTAATGTAACTGTTGTCTTTGAAATTCAGTTTGAGTGACATGCTAGGCTTTAATATAGTTTCAATAGGAAACAGATAGATAAGGGTAGATGCTTCAGGAGAGGTACCTTTACTCCTTGCCAAAAGGCTACGTATGTTCATTTTGGAAAGTAGTTTTCCAGGGTGAAAAAAATCTTGACTCTTTGCTTAGCTGTTTATTTTTGGCATTTTGATTTCTTGATTAGTACGATGATCTTACCACCCTTGTCAAAATGAAATATGTTTGAAAGATGTTAACATAAATATAAAGATAAGCTGGTTTTATAATTTACAAAGTACATAGTAATATATTCTGTAGCATGTACAGAATAATCATGAAAGTTTAATGGGAATCGGAAAGTTTAATGAGAAAGACAGTGCAGGCATTTTTTATCAGGTTGAAAGCCAGTAAGATTATCTGATTCCCATTCGCTTAAAATACATAGATGAAATGCTTTGTTGTTATCTAGTAATAACTTTTAGGGGGAATTTTTTTTCTAATTTCAGACTATTACAAGGGTGTACACATTCAGTTACATAATTTGCTTTTGTACATTTCAGGTGAAAGTTACAAGTGTGCCTTTCACTTTATTCCTGTTAGGTGTGAATTAATCCAACTTCTCTATCCCCTATCATACTGGAATTTATACACAAGGAAACAGTAAAAACTTAAGAGTGTGTATGCCCTAAATCATTAAAAGAATGTCTGTAAATGTTCTTAATCTATATTTTTTACCCTGCTGACCATTGCCTGAGATATAAGTTTATACTAAAGCAGTGATTTTCAACATGTGGTCCCAGGACTAGCAGCACTCCTATCATTACAGCTGGGAACTTGTCAAAAATACATACTCTGACCACAGTAGTCTTCCCACCCAGACTACTGAATCAAAAACTCTTGAGGGTGGAGCCAGTAATCTGTGATTTAACAAGCCCTCTGGGTGAGTCTGATGCATGATAAAACATGAGAGCCACAATTAGATTTCAGCTTCTAAATCTTAAGGGTAGTAGCCACCAGGGTTGCTGAGGGTACGTACATGCCCTTATGTTCCTGGAGGAGCCACACTTACCTGTTCAGGATTTTCTCTTCCTTGACTACATGTATAAATTTAGAATAGTTTTCCTTTTATGAGTCAGTCTTCATGATCCAAACAAGAACTGGCTCGTAATTACTTTAAAAAAAAAAAAAAATGGCTCAGCACCTGTGGCTCAAGTGGCTAAGGTGCCAGCCACATACACCTAAGG